GGAGACTCAAAATTACAAGAACACACCTGGATTTGCATCCAGTGGGAAAGTACCTACTGGGCTGCTGCTATCTGTGCTGAGGAGCTCATGAAACAAAAACAAGCCAACCGCAAATCACACTAAATAGGAAAGCTGTCACTTCTGGAATCAACCGTAGAAATGAAATATAATAGGGGCAAAAAAAAACGCTGGCTTTATTCCTGGACACAAAAAGTAAATCATCTGCAGAGAGAATAACATTCCTCTCCTCCCTTTCATCCCAAACCAGATATCAGATCTGTGGAAGTGAGTATGCAGAAACTTTCCAACCTTTTGACAATCCAACCTAGAGAAGAAAGAAAAGTGGAGAAAAAAAAAAAAAAAAACAAAAACAAAAAAACAGAACAGCTGTAAATGCTTTGGACACTATATATATATATATCTCAAATACATGATAAAATTATCTACAAAATTTAACAGCTTCCTGAAGTTGAACAACAAAATATGTAATCTCAACAATACCAGGAATCTCAGTTCAGCTGTAAATTTCCACAAGTTCCTTGGAGAAATTGGAGGGTGCACATAGAAGGTAATTTGTGAAATTATATAAAAAAAAATATATAGAAAAGGTCCAAGGACTAAAATATTCTCAGCTTCCTGACCTGGTATCTCAAGATGGACACCTGAAATATATGAAGACTCATTATACCTTAAGTGTCTCCCCTGAGCCCAGCAGCTCTTTGAGAAGCACAGTCCCCCCACTCTGTCCCCCTGACAGACCCAGGTCACAACAGCCAAGGCAAGACAAAGAGTTGCTCCCTCTCAGATGCATGGCCACAGACTTTTCAGACTTTTAAAGAACCAAATCATGACAAACAAACTAGTAATAATATCCATCACAAATATCAAATAATTGGGGTTTTTTTATTTATTTTTGTAACATCTAATCCCAGGCTTGAGCCCATGTTCTGGGAATCCTAGGTAGAATCAAGCACTTCAACAACACATATTTGCACGTGTCCATTGCTACGTAGACATCAAAATCAATGACCTCAAATTAGAATTTTGAAATATGCACTGCTAATCCAGGTACTCAAATGGGATGTGGGACTTTCCTAAAAGCTTTGCTACCAAGTGGTAGCTGGGCAGTGGAAAACCCAGCTTTCACACATTTGTTACCTCTGTGGTCAAAAACTAATAGTTGTGTACTCAGATCCCTCAGCCTCTGAAGAATATATTTCAGTCCTCCCGAGCTCTGGTATCTGGCAAATTTTCAGTATCACATACTTGCTGACTATCCTAGTGTGCTCCAGGATAATGCTGAATTATGAACCCAGCCCTTTGCACAAAGTGTTCCCGTATTCTTTTCAAAAGACTTCCCTCCTCCACTCAGAAAGTTAAAGAAGCAATTCAAGCCGCACTGTGGAAATACCAAATTTGTGTTTTAGCTAAGAGAAAACCAGGGAGAACAGAGGTTTGCAGAGAAAGAAGGGACAAGTCAGCAGCTCTGATGAGAAGTTAGAGCAGGGAGGGTGCTAAGGCCACGTGAAAAATAGCTGTGCCCCTTATCCTTTCGGTGTAAAGAACAGAGAGCAAAATGATCAGGAAACAACAGTGTTCAGGTCAGAGCCGAGCCAGAGAAGATGAGTCTGGAGGAAGCAAAAGAACTTGAGGTAAGCAAGTATGCAATAACTAGGTTAAAAAAAAAAAATAGATTTAAAAAAAAAAAAATCAAATGGATCAACAGTCAGATGAGCATTCACCACAGTGCTGCCTCTTACAGGCTGAGTGACATTTGCTATGCCCTAAACTGCAACCTCAAGCCATTAGCAGCTTGGGATGAACACAGGGGATTTCTATTAAAATAAATAAATAAATAAATAAATAAATAAAAATAAAATAAAAACACAACTCAAAAGAGTTTAAAGGAGTTTAAAAAGAGTAGTTTAAAGGAGTTTAAAAAGAGTTTAGCTGGGCTGGCTCATTCTTCTCTGACATCTCTGCACAGGAGATAACTTGAAGGATGCTATGGGTGCTTGTCAAGCGTGTGAGCAAGAAAAGGTTTTCCTGAGGATATTATTCAGCTGGAAGGGAGAGGGGGGCCAGCCCTTCACAAGCAAGGAAGCGAGGCAGCTCGGACGCCTACTGCCGGTGTGTGACAGAGCCGTGTCTTGCACAGCGTCGGGCCCTTCCTGCAGGATAAAAAGGTGCCGTTCTGCAGGGTAAGCATACAGGTGGTCTCTTCAGCTCAAGGCTGAGCCACGGGAATTCCACCACTAATGCTCATGCTACACCTGATACATCGGAAACCAATTTCCATTCCTGTCTCTCTAGCATCTTCTGCGATTGCTGAATGTAATTTTAAAGAAAATCAAACACCTCCTTCTGACTATTTTCTGTGACTTGCTTTGGAATAAAGATACCTGGCAAAATCTTAAAGCTTAGCAATTTAAGTTAAGCGCTTAATTCCAAGTTGAGAGACCTAAATACAGCTATCCACGCACCTCACTCACTACTGAGCATTTACAGAAAAGCCTTATTTTTAAGGAGAAACAAAGCCCTGGGAAATGAGGACACTGAGAACATCTGAGAATTACAGCTTAAGCCAATACTGGACTCCGAGACAGAACAAAGTCAACTCTTTCTGGCTTTATATATAGCTTACTGGTTAGCAATTCCAGCCAAACATTTTCTCAAGTTTCCATAATGAGCCATACCAAACATTGGTTAGCTTCATGGCAACAAATTTGTGTGTGAGTAATGGAAGGTTAAAAAAAAAAAAAAAAATGCAAATCTGCAGCATTTATGCAAGGTCTGTATCCACACTCAATATTAACTAGATATGGCAGATTTTCTACCACATTAGAGAGCATACCTAGACAAGCAGAACTGAGGTTTATTTCATGCATAGTTTTGTTCAGGTTCAGACACATGACAGGTAATTAGCAATTTTTAGGAACAAGTTAACTCGCTCTAAATCAAACTCTAATATCAACGCAGCTAGCAAGGAACCATACAAAACACACATTCAAGCAAGATCATAGTATTCTATTAGGGAGATGATTTATTGCTTGGCATTTTTTGAAGTTTTGAGACTGTCAGTAGACTAGAGTCACATACCAGTTTTGAAATACACTTCGCAGTCTGCCTCTGCCTACTGGCACTTAATAATTAGCTGTTTAAGTTAAAAACTCTACTCCTCATTTCCTGGAGAGGCTCTAAAAGGTCTACTACTTCTGTTTATTTTTTTTTTTTTTCCTAACTATATATTATCCAGGTTAGGGTCTACTTTACTTCAATCCCTATCCTCCATGTAGTCTGGAGAGACTACTTCTCCTTCCTCCAGAAGGAATCTCCACCAGCTTTATAAAGCATCTATAATCATCTAGGAAAAGAAGAATACTCAGTCTAGTCCTGAGCAAGCATACCTTCAGGTATCTCAAAAGGTTTCTGAAGAATGCATACTTCCACTCTAGTTCAATTACGCTGATTATCAACATTCTTCCTCTTCAGTTTGGAATCAAAATCAATTGCTTTCTAAACAGACTTCTCAACAGTCAGGTCTTCCTCATACACTTGTGGCTTTAGAGCAGTCAACCTGAAACTCCTAAAAGAGATTCCAAAACTTTTTTGGAAATACAGCTTAACTCTAAGAACCAGGCTTAATTACAGTGATTTAGAGATGAACTAATTTGTTCCTTTAGCAGCTTTGTACCACAAGATTCGTTCTGAAAAACCCTGACAGTGCTTTAAAGCCTAAAAACCACAAGGCTGCTTGATTAACTGCAAAACTGAAGTCACCTGCTGTCCTGACCTAAGGTCATGAGCTGCTCACACTGGAGAAAAAATGGTATTACTTATTCTCTCAGAAGAGACAACCAAAGCTCTAGATCCAATGCATCTTTTGAGTAGTAATGTCTGATATTATGGCTATGCATAGTACAAATATAATTTCAAATTTATTAGTGAGCTGAATAAGATAACAACTTAAATCAAAACCAAAGGATTTTAATTATGTCAGTGCAAAAAGAGTTAAAATAGTATGTTGATGCTTATCTACCACCTCTTCAACTTATCAGGTGGAGACTTATTTCAGAAAGTATTACATAAACAAGACTTAAAATTTAGAGAATCTAACTCTGCCCCCTTGAGAAGTATGCAGAATATCCAAAAGTGCACATACCAAGCCCCATTTCTAAAGAAGCTTTCAGTCCTCATTTCATGACTTGATTGGTGTGGAAGATGTGATTTTCAGTTATGCTCTTTCTTGGTCCTTGTTTTCATCCACCAGTTTCATCGGAGGTTCATCAAAGGAGGTTGTGGCACTGACTGAGAAGCTACAGTTGTTAGTGGCCAGCAAAGTTAAGTTCACCTGTGGGCTGATCAAGTAACCAGAAGATCCATGGTGTTGGTTCACTTTGAGAAAGTTTCACAAGTTATGTCAACATAAGTAGAGTAACAGCTATGTCTTTAAAGAAAGATTGTCAGTTTAATGTAACATAAGCAGAAGTTGAGATGACAAGAAATACAGTGCTGTGGCTTTAGAAAGATGCCTTACTCTTTGAAAACCTAGCCTTCCTATGGAAACAAGCCTTCCTGAGCCACACCACAGGGCATGTGCTGGCCCTGATTTCTTCAGGAGAGTTTAATAAATCATCATTTAATTAATGATGGTTTGAGGAGCCGTTGGAGAAATGTGTCCCCCTCATTGCAAGGCAGTGTGATTCATAGGAAGAAATGTGGGAGAATCGTTGTAAGATATAAAAAATGGCGCTCCTTTATTTTATCCACCACATCTTGTCTTTGCCGAGAGGACATTCCCTAGTCCCTAACTGTATCATACGGAAAAGAGAAAGTATGTTCAGCAATCTATTCATACTGGAAAATCCTGCTCTGTTTCTGGATTTAATGTAAATACAGACCTGTTTGGGCACTCACAGAAAGAAGACTAGGCAACCAGCTCAAATCTGGTGTGACCTAAATTGAATCCAGAGTTTGCCCATCATGGCTTTTCCCTCTTTTTTACCTATTCTAAAGAGCAGGCCCCAGTATATGATGTATACCTTTCCCATGCTATTTCTTAAACTCTAGTATTTTTTTCAAGACAGAAGGGAGTTGTCGCTTCCATTTTACGGTGCTTGAAATGCATGGGCAGATTGTAGCAGCCTTATTTCTTACTCCTTCTCTTGAAGATACAGATTGGTTTGTCTCAAGCATGTCTTCATGACCTATGCTTCTCTCTTTCCATCACTTAAATAAATAAATAAATATCCAAGTAAGCACAGGCAACAAAATAATCCAAGCAGGTAAATTTTAACTCCCAAGAACACATCTATTACCTGCACAAGTCTCCAGCAACAGCTTCCCACCTGATTCATGTTTGACAACAGCAGCTGAGAGTGGTCAAATGCTCTGATCTGCTGAGGACAGCGAGGGTGTCCCTCATGCCACGCTCTTCAGTAGCAGCTGGAGCAAAATAAATCACATAATGTGTTGCATTTGCTAGCAGTACACACCTGCCCACAAAGCTTTCACAACATCCAAAAAAAAAAAAAAAACATAAACAAAAACATAAAAAGCCAGCAATGCATGACATTCATTATTTTCCAAAGCCTCAGAAGGTACTCAAGTACCTCCTGGGAATTTCAGAGACAAATGCTCATCTGCATTTTAAAAGATAGGTCCACCAGAAGTACATTGCAGGTCCTTGTCAGCTGATTGTCAGGTGCAACATAATGTAAAGTAGGTGACATGCTTAGAGGCCTTCCTTACATAAAAATATAAGCTGCAACCCAGCACTACATTGGCAATTAAAGTCCTGCTAAGAGTTTTCCTATAAATTATAGTAATAGACCTCCCGTGCCACTAGCTGGGTTGACCTATATGCTGTGGTATAAAGCAGCAGTTCCCACCTGAGGACCTTGAACACTGTTCCAGGTCTGCAGGAAAGATTTTTGTGAAGTAAAAAAAAAAAGAAGAGATGCTGATGGAAAAGGGAAGTGATTTTTTTGCAGGCTTTGCAAGCTATGAAGCAATCGTAATCAGCAGGAAATGACCACAAACCTCATGATGACATTAAGAGTTTGTAACCAGAAATATTGGAGAAACCCTATTCTTGTTCATTTGATCATCTCGCAGAAACTATTAAAGTCAACGACTTCATTAGAATGGAAAAAAATAAACAGCTGATTTTTAAATACAGTTCCATAACACTTTTTATCAGAGACCTCAAATGACTTCTTCAGAGCTGACAGGTTCAAAGGAGCAATATTTACCACTCCTGCAGCTTCTCTTATTCAACACTTTTTCCTCCTCAGTTCTCAAGACAGAGTTAGAAGAAATTGAAGGGAGAAAAGGAAAAGAACCAAGAAAATATGAGAAGAATTTGAGAACTAAATTGGAGTGGGGAGGGAAGAATAAGGAATAAGAGAGAAAAAAAAAATAGTAGAATAAAACATAAATCTCAATCCTAAAACCAGCTGGTTTTGATCCACACACTCAAAGCTATGCATAGTTGTTTTAATTACCAAAGAGGGGTTTGCAAGCTTAAAATCAAATCCACGTGCTTGCGAAATAAAGAAGTTGAGATCAGTACTGGAAAACAGAGTCAGCCTTATCTAGTCCATCATTAATTAAACATGTGCTGGAATATCTATTTAGATCAGCTCCCTCAGATGAGTGCTACTTCAGAATTAAAAAAAAAGATTTAGCTTCACCTGCAAGTGCTGTGAAGTTACCCAGGAATAAAATCCTCTATCTCAGACCATTTAGGTAGGAGGTTGTTCTGTAATAGCTAATCTAAAGTAGCCCCTAGGAAACTAAGTCATGCTAATTTTCAGTGAGGATAGAGTTTATGGAGCCTTTTTGTGTATCATAACAGTTTCTAATAATAAGCCTGTACTGCTAAAAATGAAAGGCATCTTCTAATATTTTTTATTATTTTCATGTATTATTTTGTTGGGTTTTTTTTGGATATCATTTTTTTGTTCTTTGCACCTGCAAAAAGAAAGCTTGTTTTCTTTCTGAGAAGACAGTGGGAAGAAAATCCTGGAACACTTCTGCATAACTGAAGAATGAGGGGGAAATATCCTTACTTTCTCCAGTGTTAAACATTACTTTTCCTGCTTTCTTAAATTGAATGTGAGTTAAAACCCCAGCCTTTTAATGCTCGGTCACATAACTCTAGTGTTCCTAGATGCATATGAAAAATATTTGTATTTATACATACAAAAGAGATTCTGCCTGAGTGTTCAGACTGCTTTGCATCAGAAATTTAAATTGTAAAATTTGTAATGTAACCATGAATCTCAGATTAAAAATGTCTTGACAATTTCCTAGTCAGCCACCTAGCAGCACCAAGAAGAAAAGCCCAAGTACCCCCCTAACCCGTGCTGTGTGGCTCTCTGTGAGTTGGATCGTGTGTGAGAGGGACGCGGGGACTGCCAGGGGAATTTGGGGAAAACCCCTGGAAAGCTGCCTCTGGCTTCCCCAGCAGAGCATCCCGGTAGCCGTCCCACGGAGCAGGCACAGGGGAAAGCCGGGCGAATTTGCACCGCAGGGTGAAGGATGCCAGCACCTAGGGAAGGGGTTAGGAAGGAAGAATGGAGAGAAAGGAAGAAGCAGAAGGAGTCCAGGGACCAATGCAGCCAACAACAGTGTTGGGAGCCCTACACGACAAAATGGGAACCAAACAGCTTCCCCACAGCACCACTGATGCCTCAATCCACAGCCCTTGAACCTTCTCCTCTTGACTCCGTCAAACAAATAGACGTAGCTAACATGCAGCTCAAGCCAAGCAGATGCAGAGGACGTGCTGACTACCACAGAGAGACCCGTGAAAGATTACTGAGCTCCTCATGGAAACAGAATAAAGACCAGAAATATTTTCAGAATTGGGACCATAGCTAGTAATCATGTTTAAGAGGCATTTCGACAGTGCCTTTAACAACATGTTTTAACTTTTGGTCAGCCCTGTAGTGGTCAGGCAGTTGGACTAAATGATCGTTGGTAGGTCCCTTCTAACTGAAATATTCTAGTCTATTTGCTTTATTTTGATTTGGGGTGAAGGGGGAGGGAGGGGGATGGGGCAGAAAATAGCCTCCAGAAAGGCTATTAAATAAAGGCAACATTTAGCTCTTGGTAAAGCACTAGTTTGAGTAGCCACGCCATTTGGGCCACTGCACAGCACCGAGTAAACAACTTTCTGATCCACTCTGATAATAGTCTGTTTGAGATACACACTGGTATTCGAGATACAGAGTAGTGTTCACACTTTAACTGAAGTGCTGTTAAACATATGCAAGTAGCTGCTCGTCACTCCAGCAGCGTAAAAGCACTGGAGAGCAGCCCTGGGGCAGCAGCACTTGGAAGACACCCCGGATAATTTAAAAGCTGCATGTATATGACTTATTCCTTCCACTGGACATACAGATGAAAACCAGGGACATCTTAGTGTGAAGTACAGAATAAAAATGCGAGAGAGTGGATATCAACAGTTTATGCCAGCCACTCACGCCAGGGGAAGCTTTTCTGTTTAAAGCAACAATTTAATTTATTCCAAATGGCACCTTGTCAGACTTCCAGTCAAGGGATACAATTTAGAGTCAGTCACCTTTGGTGGACATGGGCACCTGCCCATCAGAATAATGAGAAAGCATACCGTGGCTTTTGTTTTCTTGACTATGAGACACCGACCTCGAGCCATTTCACTCTTTCCTGATGCTACCCGTATTTCTCTCTCACACACTTGAAAAGCCAGGATTTTTTCCCAGTTCATTTCACAAACATCCTAGATGACCATGGGTGGCCTGATTTTCAGTCTGGCGTCTAGAAAGGTTTGCCCTAGGTCACACCACACGCTACAGAGCTTCATTATAGCAAGGGAGATGTGGCACATCGTGGGTCCGTGTGCTCAAGAACCCACCCGACCGCATGCGCCTCGATAGCAGCCCACAGCCTGTGGCCCCACTTCTGCCCTCTGGTCTTAAAATAACCTCACCTACACTGAGAGGTCTGACACATGCACACATCAAAATAGTAGTTAGATGAATCAGACTTAGAGCTGCATATGTGTGTTACAGTCATGATTTCCAAAAAGACATTTTGCAACCTTTCATAGTCACAGCATTTGTCACTACCACCAGGTTACTGTTTGTCAAAGCTTTGGGCTCCCATCCTACAGATACGAGACTGCTCACATATTGAAAGCCAGATACAAATACTAATACCTGCAGCATGAGGGTCTGAAACAGTAATTTTGCTTGAAAAGAATTAAACTGTAGGCTACATATCTAACGGTGTCAAACTGCTTCTATGAAAAGTTAAGGGGCATCAAGACTATTTTTTGTATTCCATGACAACTAAAAAAGCAGGTGTGTTTTCTTTTCCCTAAATAAAACTATGACATCTTCCACTTCCTTCCTTCCTGAAATGACCTAATTTCATCATTGGTAGTAGTAAGGGAGAGTCTGAATTATTTGGAACTGATGCTTACACCTTTGACTGAAAGTTTAAATTTAAACAGCTAAGAACAAAATGTTTTTGCTCTTTATCCCACGCATTTTACCTCAGAGTTTGAAAGTTATTATGAAACTGATTATGAAAAAATTTTGTAAGGGTTCCTAAATTCACACAGAGATTTTCCAGTTGCTGCCCTGACATTATCAGTACTAATATTTCATACACAAAGGTCTTATGTCAGATATTTGCAAGGATGTGCCTAAATCTCTTCTAATCTTCTTCAAATCTTGATTTAAAAAGTTAATTAAAAACATAGAAATTAAGGCATCTGGCTTCCAACTATACTTCCAGTTACAGAGGAAGACCTATTTTCTAGCGAAAACCCACAGGGCTTTGTGGATTCTTCAAAGCCTTTCTCTGGTGGCAGAAAGCAGACAAACTCCCAGGATGCACAGATCTACCCACAACATGAGGTCTTCCAGAATTTTCTGTTATGGATACCAAACACCAAACAATTTTCCTCCAGCAGTGGAAAAAGGCCAGTGCCTTTGACATAGTGTTATCAGCATGCCTCATGTTATGAGTCATTTCTGCAATGGAATGAAAATCTTGACTCTCCAGCTCCAAGACCAGCCTCTCCCTCACAGCCCCAGATGCGAAAGCCAGCAGGAATGACTTACCCATCACAGCTCTTTCCCATACATCACACCATTCCAAATTCGCTGCATTTAAAACAACCAGAGTAAGTACCTGAAAAATTTGCTTGAAAAGGTTGGGCCAGAAGAAGTGAGGCTCTTAACCTGAAATTTTGCAGATGAACTCGGGGATGGATTTTGAGAGGTAAGAGGAAATAGGAAGCCACAGACCCTATGCTGGTGTCATCTGGGTTACCCTAAACTCTCAACTCCCTGACAGCAGGGAAGTGATGTGGTTGTACAGCTCACTCCCTCATCAGATGGCCACATCCACCCAGCAAAAAAAAATTCACTGAAACTAGAAAGCAAAACAAAACAACCTTTTGTTTGTTTTGGGGTTTGTTTTTTTGTTGTTTTTGTTTTGTTTTGGTTTTGGGTTTTTTTTTTTTTTTTTGTGACTGGCTTGTACAACCAGAGATGTTATTTCTCTACAAAGAATAAAATTGTTATTATTTTTCCTCTCTAATCCACACTTCTCAAGAAACTCTGTTAATCCCTATCCTTCACTGCGGAAATCTTGGTACTTCATCTCTCTGCGGTTCAAATCATTCATGCCTGGCTGTTTAAGAGAGCGGAAAGAAACATTTTAAAAGACCTGAAATTGTTTATGTAAAGAAGGCTAAAGGCATCAAGCTAGTTGACACTAGTCCTTCTGCATATTTTAAAGGTAGAAAACGGGTCAAGGAGGCTGTGAACCTTAGTACTTCTGCAGTACTTACTCGTGGTTACCATCACCCTTTAATACAGTTAGGAGAGAAACCCCTTCTCTCCTTTGCCTTGCTTTATGAATCAAAGGATCAGGGTCCTTTGGACAGTGCAGTCTGAGGGGAAAACCCTTCCCAGTGAGAAGCAAACACTTCTCCTTTTCACTATCGGCCCAAACAAGACATTTAGTTTCACATTAAAATAAGAGAAAATAGTTCAGCATATGTGTATAGGAAAACTAAGTCACTGTCGTGTCTAGGTGATTGGAAAGGTAATTTTAAGAGGATTCTGGCAAACTCGAGACTTCTTCTTACCAGCAATATCCCAAGTTTGTTCTTCTCTGTTGCAGCAGGACAAAATAACACTTTAACCATCCAGTACAGTTTTAAGTGCAGATAATAAATAATTCATGCAAAATATTTTGGCCTACTATTCCAAGCAAATACGAGGGTTTAAAATAATAAATAATTCTGAAGTACTTCTACAAGGGTCACGAATTTCCATTAGTGATTTCTGTTATACAGAAATTCAGTTGATTACTATCTCGATCCAATAGTAAGAGAAGTTCAGGTTTATCCAGAGAGATGCATCTATTAGATTGTCAGACTCTTGAAGACTGAAACATGGATGTTCCCTCTGGACCCTTCATATGGAATGAAAAAAAGCCACATAAGCACAAATTCTAACTACTTTCCTTCCATGTACTTGAGAATACTAAAAATGCACAAATGGGCTTCACTTCTTCATTAATTAATTCACCAGATGAATGGGGAGAGGTTAGTTTTAAGTAAGTACAAACTCACAGGAGGTTTTGATTCAACAGGTCCATTTCTTGCCTCTGATCAAAAGGCTACCGCCTAGAATTTTAATGGGAGTTGCTTTAACATGGTGTAAGCATGAAAAGCTTAATTATACAAGGGCAGGAGAGGGGTATCCAAAGTTTTTCTTTTATCCTTAACTTTAGAAAGTTAAGGAAAACCATATGACTGATAATAGCTAACAGGCATAAATTCTTAATGGCGAAGTTACCAAAAAAAAAACCCAAAAGCCATACCAAAAGTCAGTCCCAGATCACGAGTGAGACAGAGGGCTTCCACTTGTTCAGTTTACTGTTACCACAGGAGTTTAATTACATGAATTTACAAATTTCAGCCTCGCTGGATCTATATTGTCGTGGTCAGCCTCCATCCCTCTGGTTCCCTTTACTGACATATATAACAAACCAAAATGCCTGAGGTAGAATTTGCTTCGATTTAGGTGCCATCCGCCCTCCTCTCTCAAGTCAAGCTCATCTACTGCCAGCCCACTTAGAGACCCCAAACCGAAAGCAGCAGAAAACTTCCGATGGCACCACCTAACACCCCACGGCTCCCCACTCTTCTGCTTTCAGATGCTCAGACCCTCAGGCCACTCGGATGCTTGGCCACAGCCGGGCACGATTCACAAACAGCAACACAGCAGCCAGCCACCCTCCCCAAACTCTCCTTTTCCATTAATACCCGTGGCACAGCAGCGGCAGAGGCCTCTCGCTTCGGCTACCCTTGTGCACTCACAATCATCTTTGCATTTCTCCTAGCTCTTAATTTTTCTGCCTTGCTTTCTAATGGCAATGTATTAAACTTTTGCAACCTGCTGTGGGAAACTGCTGCCCAATTCAATGCCTCCTCTACCGTATTAGCTCTGGAATGTGCTCCATCTTATCATTTATTTTGGCAACAATAAGTCCAACACGATTTTATTTGCATTTTAGTAAGTCTTTTCTGTTCTGTTCTGCTCGGGGTTTTTCTAACTCTCGTTAACTGCTGACTTTTTAGTCACACTGTGTTAAAGATATAAATTAAGGTACAAGCCCTCAGTTTTCATTCCTGAGCTGTCAGGCTCGGAAGAGCAGTGCTGAACTCCCCCTTCAAAGCAAAGGGAAATTTTTCACTGAAATTGAAGATGTTTTGTCTCACAACTGGGGTGACCTAAGGGCACGCGCACACAACCAGTTACCTTCCATCAGCTGGCGCGCTGAAACTTATCCCACCTGATTTTTTCTAAACTGCATGCTTGTCACTTTGCACAGACGTATCTGAAAGACGAAAGCAGTTAAACCGCGCTGTGAGTTCCCCTCGCGCAGGAAAGCACCCCCTTTAAGCCGGACTGATGCCTGCCAGTTAAACCAGGCCTAGGCTCGAGCAGGCAAAGCAGGGGCCCGCGCACAAGCCGCGCCCCACCCGCCTGTTCGCACAGCGCGGTGTCACAGCGCTGAATTATTTCCCCTCCCCCGCGGGGCGACGGCAGCTGGGGACTCAACCCGGGGAACGCGGGTGGGAAAACTCCCCCCCACGCCGGGCTCCCCCCCACGCCGGGCTCCCCCCCACGCCGGGCTCCCCCCCCCCGGCCCCCCGGCCCGGGCCCGCCGGAGGCCGGTGCCGGGGCGGGGCGGCGGCAGGTGCGGGGCGGCGGCGGGCGGCGGGCGGGCGGCGGGCGGGCGGCGGGCGGGCATTGGGCGGCGGGCGGGCATTGGGCGGCGGGCGGGCATTGGGCGGGCATTGGGCGGTGGGCGGGCATTGGGCGGCCGGGCCGGGGCGCGGCCCCGGGGGCGGAGAGGGGGGCCGGGCACGGCGGCGCGGCGGGGAGGGGGGAGCCCGGGCGGGACCCGGGTACGGCCGGATTTAAGGAGCGGTGCCGGGTGGAGGTGTCCTCGCCGCGACCGTCCCTGCCGCCGCCGCTGCCATGCCCGTCAAAGGAGGCACCAAGTGCATCAAGTACCTGCTCTTCGGCTTCAACTTCATCTTCTGGGTGAGGGACCCGCGTCCCGCCCCGGGGGAGCCCCCGCTGCGGGGCCGTGGCTGCGCCCCCTCGCTCTCTCCCCGCGTGCCCGTGGGGGGGGGGGGGGGAGGGGCAAGGTGCTGGGAGCGATGTTTTGTTTTTGTTTCTTTTTTTCCTTGTTTCGTTTTGGTTTTGCCGTTTTTCTTACTTCCCCTCTACCCGCCCGGGGGTGAGGGGGAGCGGGGTGTGTGTGTGTGACGGGGGGGTGCCCAGCCCTGCTCCCCCACCCTCCCTCACGCCGCGGGGTTACCCCCGCGGTGTCCCCGCGCCGCCGGCCGGGCGGGGACCCGGCGCGCTCGCCCCGCGGGGGCGGCCCCGGGTGGGCGCCTCTTGCCCCGCGGGGCCCGGGGCTGGGCCGGGCGTGTCCCCGAGCGGCCCCCGGGTACCTGTTGCGGCCCCCGCTCCGCTCGGCAAGAGGTGTCCGAGCCAGATGTAGCCCTGGCTCGGGACCTTACTTTCTTTCTTTTTTTTTTTTTAATCTTTTTTTATTTTTGTTGCTAGGACCGTGTTTAGCACAGACCACGTTTAGACGTTGTGCCCTGCCTGTTAACGTGTGCGGGGGGGGGTGGGTGCCAGGTGTGCAGATAGCTCCCCACATCCAGAAACTCCCGTTACGGGTTGTACCCCCCGGTCGCTTTTCCGGTGCGAAGGCTGTAACGGGGGGTGGGGGGTCGTGGTGGCGGCGGGGGGGTGGGATGTGGGGAGCCGCTTCCCCGCGAGTTAGCGCTTGCGGTCGCCTTGTCGTGTGTGTGTGTGTGTGTGAAATCTTGGTGGGTGCCGCGGCTGAGGCTGTAGCTTCTTCCTCACCTCTTCTGGGCAGCGTCTCATCAAGAAAATTCTAAAATAGTTTAATCTGTAGGAGCGCACAGCCACCATAAGTGGAAATCGTATCCCCAGTGCAGTTTCTGGCATGACTGTTCCTTGTTTGCCAGGCAGTGTCAGAAAGTGTGGCTTAACTGAGAGGTTACCACTGCTTTTCAAGCACTCAGGGCATGGACATCTGAATTCAGCATCTTTTGCCTTACGAAAAACTACATAGGGATCACATTTCAACTGCTGGTGTGCCCAGTGGATAGGTGTGAAGTCTGAGGCTCAAAAAAAAAATTTTCTTTTCTTGGTTATCTGCCACACTGGAGAAGTGTGTGTGTGACTCCTTTTCACCCTCTGATGTGGAGAAATTAAGTCAGAGCTGTGGAAAGAAACCACTTCTGGAGTTAGTTACAGTGTTGTGTGTGGGATGACTGGAAGATGCAATGCTAACGGTTAAAATACTTGTGATCTCCCAACTTAAAAATGGGTTTCGACAAAATAAGAAAATGGATCTTGGCTGCAATTGAGGAAAGCTGTGCAGGGCAACTTTACCAGGGCACAGGAGAGCACATACTGCCACCCAAGACTCACCAGGAGGGTGAGCAGGGGCGTCACATTTGGAGGGATGTGGCTGGTAAGACGAAAAAGCCTAACAAAGCCCTGGCTGAAACCTCTGGGTCAGTGAAGTGTTAAACCTCTTGTTGAAACAGGAGGAAATATTCATGGTTTACTTTGTAGTATGGTAGTTGGCTTTTTTTTTTTTTGCTGTTGTTTTTGTTTTTTAAACCTACGGGCTTTCTACAAACTGTTTTACAGCACAAGAATGCTTCTTGTGGCAAAGGCACTGCCTCAAAGACACACTTAACGTGAGCATCACTACTTTGCTCTCTGGGGCTCAGGGCTGAGAATAGGACCATCTTTTTGTTTATCTCAGGAGGCATCTGTTGCTTGATAGTGTCATGGCAATAAGGCTCAGAAGCTTTACTTGCACCTTTGGGTGCCCAGTGAGTATGCATGCAGGCTTGACCAGTTAAACAGGCAGAGGGAAGGAAGAGTGGTGGTGGGGAGGGGGGCTGCTGCCCAGAGGAGCCATGAGGATGTGGCTTTTCAAGTGGCCTTCTCAGGGGATGACAGTGCCCAGCCAGGATGTGGGAAAAGGAAGAAAAAGAGTAAGGAAAAAAAAAAAAAAAAAAAGAATTGAAGGGAAGTGAATGCTACTTCATGTCTGAGTATCCCAACAAATGTCTGGAAACACCAAGAGGCAGTAAAAGAAATGCAGGCAGCTGGGGCTAGACAGTGATAAGTGTTCATAGACCAGCTGGAGTAGTCCCTGGCTCTTGGGACTCACTACATGTGCCTGTGCCCTAACAAAACAGTTGAAGGGGAGTTTCCAGTCCAGTGGTAGTGAACCTCATGTCCTCCACAGAGGAACAAAGTAAGAAGGTCTCAGTCTATTTTAGACTGTTAGCCCTCAATGAATAGTGTAATAAGAGTGGTGACTTGGGGCAGGCAGCACTAGAGGGCAAGAACAACCCTGATAAGAAAGAAGGCTTTAATGTTTCTCATGGCATTGGAGATGTGAGAAGTCTAAGTAATGGAAGTAAATTGAGCAAAAGTGTTGTGCCTGAGTGCAATTCTGATGCTAAAATTGAAGGCCTGATCGGTGACTGGCTTTTGGCCCTGGGATCCCCCCCTCCACCAAGAGGAGGAACAAGCCTTTTCTTGCTTCTGAGTAGTCCATGTGTGTGGCCTCCTATTGCTCAAGTGCTACTTGGGAATGGTGACAATGATGTAGTTAGATACAGTGCACCTCCTGGAGCAAGAGAAGCTAAAAGCTCCAGTGAAGCTGTGATCAAGTTTACACAGTACCCCCCTTTTTTAAAACAAGTTGCCTCAAAAGGACAAGTGATGAATTTAAATGGTCTACAGCAAACCTGTAGGTATCTGTAGATTGAATGTTAGGTGGCATGTGTTTGCCTCCATCAGATACTTGAGTGAGGGCAAGAGGAAGCAGAGTGAAACAGCTTGGTATAGGAGGCTATTAAAATGAAAACTGGGAAACTCTCAAAAAGTGGAGGCTGTGTCCAAAGCAAGGAGATAGAAGTTCATAAATGTTGGAGGGTCAAATACAAAATATAACAAGGCTGTCCAAATGTAAAGCTTTAGAAATAAACTTGCCAAAGCAAACACAACAAAATGTCCTCCTTCAGACACGTTAGGACCAGGGAGTCCTTTTGGACAGTAATCAGTCCAGGTCTAAAAGCGTGTTGGGAGTGATGTACTGGGGGACTTTCTCTTACTGGGGGTGCTTGGGGAAGTTCTGTGCTGTAACTTCTTTTTGACTTGGAATCCCTCAGGTGTGAATTGACCTCTCAGTGAAAAGGTGGTGAAACAGCAAATACAGATTAACAGCCTTCCAGGGTCACGCAACAGTTACCTCAGAACTATAAACATGTTGCGATTACATCAAACCTCCTGCTCACCATCCATCTCAATGCTGTAGGGCTGGAATGCAGTGAATTTGAGGCTGGATTTTTTTGTTCTATGTTATTCTAGGGTATGTAGAGTGGCACACGTGATGCCTCTGGAATAGGCGGAGGAGAAGATTCTTTAAAAATAAAGTTGGAGTACACATCGAGATGTGACACTGGAGAAGAGAATGGCTACTGCAAGGGGAAGTTGGACTTCATGAAGCTGTTAGCTTGAAGCCTTTAAAAGCCTGAATCTTGGAGAGAGCAAGGGCAGGTTGGTGTTAGTTCGTTTGTTCAGTGTCTCCTGGAAGTCTCGGAGCTCTTGGGGAAAATAAACAGTCCTGGTGTAAGATCCTGTCAGGGATGAAATCACTGACTGAGCAGAGGCAGGTCTGAGATGAGATGGGGAGCACAATCAGAGCTGGCATGCAGGAGCAAACCATGTGGTGGTCAGTATGGTCCTACCTAATCTGGAAAAGCACGTTAGGTAACGCTTTGGTTCTTGAGTAGCATCCATTATTTGGAGCGATGAAGATGGGCACGTGCTGACATAGCGGGCTACGTGACAAAGCAGAGTGTGACACTCGCCAAAGGTAGGCATCGAGTAGCGTGCGTGGGAGGCAGGAGCAGGAAGCAGCCTGGAGTTATGAACTAGTTGCTTCAGAGGCCGCTGATGCCACAGAGCAATGAAGAGAAAAGGGTCTGTGGTGGCTTCACAAAAGCACCAGATGGGAGCTCAGCAACAACAGAGGAAAAGCAGCTTCAGAAGCGAAGGACCTAGAGAAGAAAGATGGTGACAGTCCATAAATCCGTGGTGTGCTGGTATCCTGAAGAGCTGTGGGCTGCTCTGGTCTTCTGCCTACCTTGGGAGGAACTGAGTGGAGCTGGATAATGCTTGGGAAAGGAAGAGGGAGGGTTTCTGCTGTCAGGAACTGTGAGTCAATTGGGATTCTTCAGCCTGGAAAGAGATGGTAAGACTCATGGATGATCACTACAAATGCTTCTGAAGTCGGGTTAACCATTGCATTTGTTTTGCAACAAATGGTTTCTACTGTTGTGCTGGAATAGGACAGCAAGTTAACAAGTTCCCTTTTGTAGGTGTGGGAATGAGGGGCAGCTGCGTTTCCCTTCAGTTCAAGTATTGCTGCAGACACCAGGCTCCTTGCTGCTGTTGTGCTGCTCTTGGTAGGGCTGGTGTGCTCCCACCTGGGTTTGCATACAGCTCTTCTGTCTCAGTGTCATTGGTGCTGGCCCTGGCATCTTTGATTTGCCTGTAATAAAAGCTGTACTGGTTCAGGTTTTTGGAAGTTTGGGGTTTGATTTAGGGTGGGGGAGGGAGGTGTTGAGGCTGTTACAGAATTAATATAAAGATTTTTCTCCCACCCCCCATCAGGCTGGGTTGAGCTTGGCAAGAATTCAATGGCAACATTGCATTATGTGCTTTAAACCTGAGGGGTAGAGTGGCCTTATCAAAGCCGCTCTTGAACAACTTTAGTGTGAGCACAGGCTTGATTACCTTGAGTTGTGCAATGAGTGACTACCTCTAGCTGAGCTCCCTTAACTTGCAGGGTTTGCTCAGGCTTGTTGGCCCTGGTGACAAAGTCTTTTCCTAGTAAAACTGTTGGCTTCTCTTAGCAGTTTGGTACACGCTGGGCAAGCACCTGGCATGGCCGCACATGCAGAGCATGT